TGTTAAGTATCTGATTACATTGCACATACCTAACCTAATTCTACTCCCTATCTCAACCTCACACTTATCTTTGGTTAGCTCGCATCAGATCATAGATTTAGAGCAGCAAGGGGCATCTAGTTCAGCCTACCTGACTTTACAGATGATAAAACTGAGGCCTGGAGAGGTCGTGTGGCTTGCCACACAGGTAGTAAGTGGGATATGAGCCCAGGTCCTCTGCTTCCAGAGCCAATTCCCCTTTACCGTACTACGCTGCCTTAATTCTCATCAATACATTCTTTACACATGTACCAATTGCATTGAACAACTAAAAACTTGGAATCATAGAACTGCAGAACTGGAACTGGAACCTGACCCCCATTCCAAGAGTGAATCCTGTCTCCTACATCCCTGACAAGTAGGTATTGAGCTCACTGAATGGTAAAAGTAAGATTTGTTGTCTTCATTTCTAGAATTTAGCTTCATGGAGAGCAGTTCTGGGCAGCTAGGTGTCCTGTACAGAGCACCAGGCCTGGATTCGGGAAGACCTGAGTTCAATTCTGGCCTCAGACACTTACTGGCTATGTGACCCTGGACAAGTCATTTAACCTCTGTCTACCTCAGTTTCCTCAACTGTAAAGTGGGGATAATAATAACACTTGGGCAGCTAGGTGGATAGAGCACTAGGCCTAGAGTCAAGAAGACCTGAGTTCAAATCTGGCATGAGATGCTTACTAACTGTGCAAGTCATTTAACCTCTGTCTGCCTCAGTTTCATTAATTGTAAAATGAGCTGGAAAAAGAAATGGCAAATGCCTCCAGTATCTTTGGCAAGAAAACCTCAAATGGCATCACAAAGAGTTGGACACTGACACAACTGACTAACAAAAACTGTTCTGTGTCACACTAGAATATAGCTTCAGAACTTACATTCAGAACCCAGCAGACTCAGTATGTATGGCTGGTACTTCCAATGACATGGGAATTCTCGTCTTTCTCCTCTTTTTTCTCCCCCTTCTCCTCCTTCTAGCTAACATTTATGCAGCACCTACTATATGCCAGACCCTGTGCTAAGGGCTTTACAATTAGTATCTCATTTGATCCTCACAACAACCCTGGAAGGCATTATTTTCCTCATTTTACAGACAAGAAAACTGAGGCAAAACAGAGGTTGACTGGCCCAAGGTCAGACAGCTAGTAAGTGTCTGAAACCAGGTTTGAGCTCAAGTCTTCTTGACTCTAGGCCAAGTCTCAGTACTCTATCTACTCTATCTAGCTACCTAACCATCCCAAATAAATAAATTATGGTGTCTGACATTCTACTCTTCGGATAAATAAGCTGGTTCTTCTCACTTAAGGGAGTAAAGATTATTATGCAGAGCCAAAGTATTAGGAGAGACCTTAGAATGAATGGGGGAAAAACAGTTATTAAGTTTTTACTGTGTTTGCTAAACCCAAGGTTCACAAGTAAAACTCATATACTCCAAAATTGTCATCTTATACAGGAGGAAACTGAGGGGTAGAGAACTTAAATGATGTGCCTAATAGTTTTCAAGAGTGCTAATGACACTCTAAAATCTTTTCTGGAGTTAAGAAATTAACATGTATTTGCTAATTATCACACAAAAGAATCATGGTCATGTCTGACTATTTTTAAAAAAATAATCTAATTCTAATCTTACTTTGCTTGATATCTTTTACTTTTTATATCATACCAACTTCCAAAAACATCCCCTTTTCTGTTCCATGATACCCTGTGAGCCATCCTTTGTAAGAAAGATTTTAAAAGCTAGAGGAGAGAAACAGTTTAACAAACTAGTTAACAAAACTAACCAACCCAGTGACCCAGTCTGACAGCATGTACAACATTCCATGTCTATAATCCCCACCGCAATAAAAAGAGAAAGGTGTATTTTCTCAAATCTTTTCCTTGATCATTATAATTATGGAATGTTGTGGGGTTTTTTTGTTGCTGACATTATTTATTGGAAATTTTTTATCATTGGACATCTATGTTGTATCTTTCAGGCCTTATCTATAACCTTCTCTCTCTTCCCAAGATTTTTGGCCCTTGGAGGGTTTGGGGACAGATGTCCAAAACATAGTGGCCTTGGACCTGGGTTAAGCCCTTCTGTAGGAACATAACCATAAAATTAGTTTGTGAGATGTTTTATAGTACATAAATAACTTTACACACTTTTCCTCATTTAAAAATCAAATGTCTTGATCAAATAAGTTGTATCTCCCCAGAGAGATATAAAACCTTTTTAAAACTTTTAACCTTTTTTCAACAAATGTTAATAGTCAACACAGTATTTATATGCTATGGTTTATTTTGAAGGTGTTTGTTAGCATTTCCTTTAAATATATGATTTGTTTTAGAAAATTTGCTACATTCTTGCAAATAATTTATATCTTGTCCCATGCCTAAAAAATGGTTCTTTTGGAAAATATGTCTAACTTTATTATAAAACCCTAGTACTGAAGGCTTGAAGGGACAAAAATGGATGGAACAGATGTGATAGAGTTTACAGAAATTTGCTTTATGGTCAACCACTCACACACACACACACACACACACACACACAGACTTATATTTTTAAGGTAAACAATTCTCTCTCCCCATGTGTTACTTTGCTTTGAAGGTATAACAGTGTGATTGTGGTCTTAATTTCCCAAATAAAGCTATTTGCTAGTTTGTTTTCAACAGAAAATGGCAAAAACAGGGAAAATAATTCTTTCTTGCATGCTGTTCTTTAATCTCTTTCATTGTAGCTGTCTACAATATGAAAGGACAAAGGTTCTTTTCCAGGGTAGCTAAACGGTGCTTTGATCACATCAACCACGGGGCAGTACTCATTTCAGGAGGACTGGGCAGGAGGGCTTCTACATTTGTGCTGGGGTGGGCTACCCCATTGTGTGGTGACTAGATCGCTTCCTTTTTCTCTATGACAATATATTCAAAAGCTGTTTTATGTGAATTGCAAATGAGTCCAATTACACAGCCTCAAAATGATTGGCTTCTGGCCTTAAATGTTCCTCTTAAACTGAAGACAGCTAGCTACAATGGGTTTCCAGTTGGTGATGTATGGTAATTTGTAGGCTATTCATGAAACTCGCTCTGAGACAAGCAGGGTTTTAAAGGGAATGGTCCTATTCTGTAAGTATACTAAAGAAAAGTTATACTACTTTAGGTGTGAAAGCATCTATACAAAAGCTAACCAATTAACTGATGTCATTGTCTCTAACTTCCAAGGTAATTTTTAGTGCTGCCTCTAATTTACCAGAATGGAGCTGGGAACCCAAACCCCAAATTCTAATCTCGGCCCCATCATCTAATACCTCTGTGACTTTGGGCAAGTTATTTAATCTGACTGTGCCACAGTTTCCTCAGCTGGTGATTTTTGCACTACCTACTTGTGCACTCTGTACTAGAGGCAGCTAGCTAGTGGAGAGAATACTGGACCTGGAGTTTGGAAGAACTAATTTCAAATCCAGCCTCAGCCACTGACTAGCTGTGTGACTTTGAACAAGTCACTCTACTTCTTTTAGCCTTGGTTTCCTCTACTGTATTATAGGGGTAATGCTATTTACCTCTCACTGTTGTTGTGAGGATCAAATGAGATAATATTCAAAAAAGTGAGTAAACTTTAAAGTGCTACTGTATAAATGTTAGCTATTATTGGAAGTCTATGGAGTAGAAATATCAGGTAGAATTAAAATAATAATAGCTAACATTTATATAGTGCTTACTGTGTGCCAGGCACTGTGCACTTCACACATTTTAAAGTTTGTTCCTTGAGAGAGCATTTTAGATTTAGATTTAAACATAGGACTGAGGAAATGTAATGAAAGTTTATCAGATGCATTCATAAGTTTATTTAAAGGCATATTAGCACATGTAGTCTTGAAAGAGGTGATGGACTACAGCTGTGGAATGAGGCATACACCATCAGGCTTGGTCAGTGTTTTCAATTGTTTTGCTTAAGTGTTCTGATAGGTTCATAGGTAAGGCTAGAGGGGACCTTAGAGATCATCTAATCCAACTGCTCATTTTACAGATGGGGAAACTGAGACCCAGTGTTGTCAGGTGATTTGCCCAATGTCACATAAGTAGTAATTGGGAAAGTGGTAATTCAGAATCATCTCCTGTGATTCCAAGTTCAGCATTCTTAACACTCCTTGGTTACAGAGGAGAATTAGAGATTGCCTGATTTGTTTTTCAAGGATTGACAGTTTTGGGGAAGAGATAGCAGTTGTGTGCACGTATTTAAATTGTCCCTAAGACATTTCAATATTTTTAAAATATCCTTGATTTTTATCTTGTGGATCAAAATTAACCAATTTGGTATTATGAGTTTGAAAACTTTTATGTGTCCAAAAATAATGACTATGTAAATGCTAACTCTGAAAGGAAACATTATTAACCAGTCTATTATTGGCAAATGTCTATTAAGTATTTGTATTTATTTCTCACTGAATTAAAATGAAAGGTGAATTATTAAATAACCTTGAGATATGCATATACTTGTGTGTGCTGACATATTTTTAGTTACTTAGAATCTTATTAGATGTTTGTCTTACAAAGTGCACAGATCAGAAAACACATGATTATGAATTCTCAGTCACATCGTAATTGTTGTTAAGTCGTATCCAATTCTATGTGACCCCATTTTGGGATTTTCTTGGCAAAGATACTAGAGTGGTTTGTCATTTCCTTCTCCAGTTCATTTTACAGATGAAGAAATTGAGGCAAACGGTTAAGTGACTTGCCCAGGGTCACACAGCTAGTAAGTGTCTGAGGATGTATTTGAATTCATGAGTCTTCCTGATACCAAGCCCAGTGCACTATCCCCTGTGCTATCTAGCTGTCCAAGCACATCATAATTATTTTAAAGAATGCTCTGCTCTCTATCTGCAAGTTTGGAATTTAATCTAATGGTCCCTATGTACTTGTGTGCTTGAACACTTTAAATTTTGTAAGATTTTCATACTCAGCTCCTTGACATTTCTCACTTTCAGGTATTCGGAAGATTATTACCTTGAAATTATCACAAATGTACAGAACTGCAGATGGCAACGGCAACCTGAAGAGTATAAGAAATTTAGGTAAACATTTTATCATGGGAGAACTCAAATTTGTTTATCTTTGTTTGGCAGTAGGATGATAACTTTCAAGACCAATGAGAGGTTTTTTTCTTTTTAAAAAAAACATTATTTTGAAACATACGTGTAAATTCTCATCTTTGAAGTTTTCTTTCTTTACTTTTTCCTATATATTTCCTTTTTCATCTGTCCAGGTAACCATTTTCTAAATCAACCTTTATGCCACCATTTCCACACCTTGACTCATAAAGCAAAATGTGATTATTTTCCTAAAATAGAGCATGACTTTGTACCGATGGAAACTCATACATCAGCCTCCCTTTTGGAGTTGTTGGAAAATGATTTTGTTCCCTCTGAACACCCTGTACTGACTCCCAGTTCTTTGCTCTGGTTAATTTCTCCTCCACCTTAAAAGCTGTAGACTGAGATCCTCCCTGAGTTCAGGTGTCCTTGTGGTACTCCAGGTCATGCTGTTCTGCCATTTACCTGGGTAACTGTCATCTGTGCAGCTAGGTGGCACAATGGATAAACCACAGGACCTGGAGTGGGAAGACGAGTTAAAATCTGACTTCAAACATTTACTAACTGTGACCTTGGGCATGTCACTTAATCTGTTTGCCTCATACATTTTCAAGACCAATTAGAGGTATGCTTAGAAAAATGGTTCTAATTTAAAATTATATGTCAAATAAAAAATTATCTATATCTACATTCAGTTATCATATCATGAAAAACTTTTCACTTAAAAAATAAAAAAGAAATTTTAAAAATGAGAATTTTTCAGTATAGAATTCCCATGTACGTTATGACCCTTAAGCAAAAAAGGAAAAAAAAATGATTAAAGGAACTGTGAAGAGCTATCATTGTGACAAGTTATACAACATATGACCAGACATGACCATAGGGGTGAGAAAGCAATTTATGTTGATCATCATCAGGTAAGTGTTTTCAGCATTAACTTTAAAAATAATTGGTTTTGCCCCTAATCTAATGTAACCATTCTCCTGTGAAGAAACTGCTATCATTTCATGGCACTATATTGAAAAGTGGATAAATACTGATTTTATCTGAACCCTGTTACTGAAAATTCCAAAATCTTATTCTTGGGGCCCATTTGAAAATTCTGAAAGGCCTATTGATGTTTTTAAAAGTATTAAAAGTGTTTACAAGTATTTAAAAGTTCATTTGTTCTAAAATTAATAAGCTGCATGCTAACAAAATTTGTAAATCTTGAATTCATTCTACAGGTTTTATTAAGTACCTACTTACTGTGTGTGCAGTACTGTGATAAACACCTTTGAGCATTTACAGAGGATATGTAAGATAAGGCCCCTACCTTTCAGGAACTTATAATCTAGTTGAAGAAACTTAATATATTCACATTAAATAGTTAAATAGATGATTATGACAAAATAATAACATTGATAGCTAGGATTTATAGAGCATCTTCTATATGCCAGCTACTGTGCTAAGTGCCTTACAAATATAATCTCATTTGATCCTCACAACAAACCTTGAAGGTAGGTGCTATTATTATTCCCATTTTACAGATAAGTAAACTGAGGCAAACAGATTAAATGACATGCCCAAGGTCACACAGTTAGTAAATGTTTGAAGTCAGATTTTAACTCGTCTTCCCCACTGCAGGTCCTGTTCTTTATCCATTGTACCACCTAGCTGCACAGATGACAGTTACCCAGGTAAATGGCAGAACAGCATGACCTGGAGTGGCCACAAGGACACCTGACCTCATGGAGGATCTCAGTCTAGAGTTTTTAAGGTGGAGGAGGAATTAACCAGAGCAAAGAACTGGGAGTCAATACAGGGTGTTTAGAGGGAACAAAATCAATTTGGCCTCACCAGGTGTGAGAAGCTTAAGATAAAGTTAGATTGATAAGATCATTCCAGAAAAAGAAGTTTGAGGTTGATCACATAGGGTGCTAGGGAATCATTACAGCTTTTTGAGCAGATAAATGATTTGACTAAATTAGAATTTTACAAAGAATATGCTGGCTCCATTAGTGTAAGGTGGAGCAAAAACAATTTGCATTTAATATTGATTTAGGGTTTACAATGTGTATGCATGTATTATCTTATTTGATTCTGTGAATAAAGAACTATTATTAACCTCATCTTACAGATTGACCTAACAACCATGTGAAGCAGGTTTTACTCTGTTCCTCATCTGACATGTGGAGGCCCAGAGAGAGACTTTCCCACGATCATATAGTTAGTGAGTGACTTGGGAGTTGAACATAGTTTTTCCGCACTTCAAGTCCAATACTCAATCCACTCGCCTTGATGAGAGGACTGACAAGAAGCAAGGAGTCTGGCCCTTTCAAGAAGCCGATAGTGAGATAACGAGACTGTGAACTAGTGCTGAATCAATGTCAGCTATTATCATTATGGCTGGAGTGATAGTGGTAAGAAAGGAAAGAGACCAACCAGAGAGACCTCTCGAAGAAAGAATCAATGGGACTTGGTGATTCTTGGATGTATGGAATGAAGGATAAGGAAAAGTCAAAGACGTCTCTGGGGTTTCCAGCTGGGAGTGACTAGGATAATAATGGATTACGCTGGCAGATATGGGGAAGCTTGGGTAGGAAGTTTGTTTCAGGAGGAAGATAATGGGTTCCATTTTGGACTCAAGCTGAGTTTGAACTGGCAATGGGACATCCAAATAGAAAAGGTCCTATAGGTGAATGATTACACTGTTGATGAGAAATTCTCATCGTTAAAGTCATTTCCCTGATATAGAAGATAAAGAAAGGCAGGGTCATTGTCTCGAGAAAGCTACTGTTAAGTGAACCCGATACCCAGGGTTGAAAGGAGACCTTCTGGGCTTCTAACACACCTGCATGGGTTGGTTTATCAGACTTTCTAGTCAATACCTTTAGAAGCACAGCTTGATTCTTGGGGAAAGTTAGAAGAAGCAGACCACTGAAGGAAAACAAATTAGTATTGGGTCATGGGTGACCTAAGTTCGGTGTGGGGTGTACATCGAAGCTTAAGGCACTGGGGACAGGGAGAATGAGGGTCCTGAGTCCAAAAGAATGCCTCATAGCAGGGAACTAGTTAATGAGCTGGATGACAGAATAGAGGTTGAAAAGTAGCTTCATAGACTGGACAAATGGTCCAATTTCATGGGGTTAAATTTAATTGAGATTGGTGTAAACAGCTACATTTGGGTTTGAAAAGTCAGTTCCTGTGGGGTGGGGGAAGACCTAGGTTTCAGTTGGTTCACAAGTACTCTATGAGCCTACACTGTGACAACATTGCTTTAAAATTGTGGCTAGTGGGTCACTGTTCCCTGCCCTCATCAGACCATGTCTGCTATCTTGTGTTTAATTCTGCAACTTGGCTTTTAAGAGAGACACAGTGCATTAAAAGAAGAGCAGTCAGGATTGTGGAGGTCTGGAGACAAATGGGAAGGGAATGGGGATGCTTAGTCTGAAGAAAAGAACATTTAGGCTTGACATAATAGCTGTCTTCAAATATCTGAGCAGTTATTGTGTGGAAAAGGAATGAGCCTCATTCCGTGATGATTCAAAGCTGGGACCACTAAGTGGAAGTGACAAGGAGGCAAAGTTTCACTTAACATAGTGAAGAACTTTCTAACGGTTAGCAGTGGATGTTGAGCAGTGGAATGAGTCCTGGTACATGAGCGAGCATTCAGTCCCTGTAAGTGTCATGTAGAGGTCAGCTGACCATCTTTCAGAGATGATGGAGAGGGGGTTTCTGTACTGGGTGGGAGATCAGACTAACCTTTAAGATCTCTTTTTTAAAAGTTTTTTATTGATATCTTTTGCTTTTACAACCTATAGATTTCTCCCTTCTGTCCCTGCCCATCCCATTCCAGAAAGCCAATCTTTATAATAAAATATTTTCTTTTTAAAGAATAAGAAAAAAAAGAAAGATGAAGGAAAGAAAAACTTCAACAAAATGTATTACATCTCTTCTAATTCTAATATTCCACCATTATAAGGGTCTGTGATTTGAGGTCATTCATTCAATAAGCATTTATTAAGCTCCTATGCACTAGTCACAATTCTAGGCACTGGGTCAGGCAAACTAGGATCATAGGATTATAGCTCTTCAAAGATCTGGAACAGCCCTCAGAGGCCATCTAGTACAACGCCCTCATTTTACAGATAGGGAAACTGAGGTCCAGAGAGATTAAGCTATTTGTCTGTGATCACAGAGACAAGTAGCAGAGCTGAGATTTGAACTCAAATCTTCTGACTCTGAGCAGCTACGTTGCACAGTGGATGGAGTGCAAGACCTAGAGTCGGGAAGACCTGAGTTCAAATTTGACCTCAGACACTTACTAGCTGTGTGACTCTGGACAAATCACTTAATCCTATTTATCTCCGTTTCCTCATCTGTAAAATGAGCTAAAGAAGAAAATGGCAAACCACTCCAGTGTCTTTGCCAAGAAAACCCCAAATAGGGTCACCAAGAATTGGACACCATTGAAATGACTCGATAACAACAACTTATGACTCTAAATGTAGGCCCAATTCCACTAGGATAAGCCCTGGCAGGAATATAGGAAGAGGCAGGTATTTAGGACAGACAGGCTAGGGTCAGTAGAGCATGAGGCAAGACAAGAGGCTGGGCCCTAGAAGCTAGAGTCACTAATGTTCTAAGACTGCAGGACCAACTTGGGGCAGCCAGCACACATAGAGCAGCAGGGATAGAGTTCCCTGCTTGACTTTCTAGATTTCTGAAATGAAGAGTGGGAGCAGAGATACTCTGGAACCAATTCAAATAGCCTCAAGCCTGATTATCAGATTTTCAGTGTGAAACGTCTTGGAAATCAGGACTTGATGTATTGTGCTTTTGATTATATAAACTTAGTAAAGTGATGGAGGAAATGTTAATGCAGATTAAACTTAAGAGTTTCTTTTTCTGTACCATTGTTTCTCCCTGGAGATCTGGTTTTTAAACAATTACTAACACATTGCTGGTTGGGAGTTTGGATTAAACAACCTCTCAGGTCT